TATTTACTACTGCATTAACCAAGTAATTTGGAAAAGTACAAGCTACCTACATAATAAATTACTCCTCAGAATATTTGGAAATAGCTCTGTGCTGGACCAAAGACATAAGACCAATAATGGAACATCATAGACAGCAACCTATATACATTCCAAACACTCAATTTTTGGAATTTAGTGAGACAGGCAGAGACCTTGCCTTTTAAATTTTGGATAATCGGATGTGATATAAAAGTAGTTAAACTGAAGTCTACAATTTGATCCGTGCTCTCAGAGCAAAGTGCTGCCATCATGTGGTAAGTACAGTGATAGCTTTGCATATTTAAGTACTGTATGGTAGAGGGAGGAAAAGCCAACAGAGCAAACTAATTGAAGACAGATGTGCAGTCAAAGAGACACTACTGATTTAATTAAGGTTAGCCACAATGGAGTAATAAAACACAATGATGTCGAACCATCTAACAGCCAAAGAAAGTAAAGTGGTCAAAGAATAATTTAAAACAGATTGAATTGCATCACAGAAGGTAACATTTGTTTACCTGAAATGCCCTCTTAATAACTGAGTTACAAAAATGATTCAACATTCTAAGATTTATTCTTTTAGGACACAGGACCTTTCTATGAGTGAGCTGATTCCATCATATATTTATAGCATCCACTCTTTCCTGTACTTGGTACTTGATAATACACTTAGGATTTCAAAAAGAAAGTAGGCACAAAAATGTAATTCATAAAAAAAATGGCCCCAAAGATGTATCTTACTACTAAGAAAAGCCTCTCAATATTTATATAAACTTTTTTCATATGTAATACACAGGTGCATAATACATTCACACATAGTAGGTCCATGATTTCTGAAACTGTAATTAAGAGAGTTGGAAGAATAAAGCAGAGATAGAATATTTCTAAATTGTTGATTTTGAAATTATAAAATTATGGACGATTATACTTAGTTTTAGTGTGTTTAAAATATTGTTTCCTTCAATAACTTAAAAAAAACATAGATATATTACACTTAAATATAACCCAGAGCTCTCCAACTATCTACAAACAAACGTGCGATCAGGACAAGTTCCAGAGTCTGTAGTAGTGCTGGCTCCCACAGAATGTTACTATACATATTATTTTCTTTTGTCACTTTCATTTTAAATATATATGTAATATTTGTGATCTATTATGAACTTTTTGATATTCATAAGCTTATAATCTCCAATGTTTAGTGTATTCTCATTAAATATTTCCTTCAATCAAACCAGTGTTTTGGGAGATTGAGGTTAAAAAATATAGTTGAATGATCACCTTTTTCTATACAGTATGACAGATTAAAGTTACCTCTGATTTTAAAAGCTTAAAAAAAAAATGACTCCCTAAAGTTTCTTTGACAAAGAACGTGGAAAAATATCCTTCCATAGCAAGTGGCCTCTTGATGAGAGATTTATGATTTGCATAAAACACAAAGCTTGATTTAAAAAGTGAAGTTATCTACTAAATCATTCAGGTGTTTTGATTGTTTGGTTAAAGTATTAATGTATTATTATTATTATTTATTCATTAAATGTTGTTCAAACATGGTTCGGGGACAAGCTTTTAAGGAGGTTACCAAGGAGAAAACATAGGTTCTGCTTCCAATAACAACAGAGTATGTGCTACAAGAGTCCAGACACAGGACAGGTCACTTCTGAATGGGAAAATGAGGAAAAATGCAAGTAATTTCTGAGCTAGGCCTTTACAGATAACTTCAATTTAGACACAAGAAAGTGATAGGATAAAGGAGGGCTTAGTAAAGTTGGAAAAAACAAAGCCAAACCAAAGGGAGCCAGAGTGAATGGGCTGAGAGGGCTTCCATGCAAAGTGTTTGAAGAATTATGTGAGATATATTTGGAAAGGAGCAGACCAATAAACACTCTTTTGAGAGGCAAAATAAAGAATTTGGTTGAAATTATTAGATGTCTTGAAATTACCTAAGATCCAGCTTCAGATAATAAAGTCCTAAATACACTTTATTTGTTACGTAAGTTTGCCTTTATGCAGATTTAGCTCAATTTAATAGAATTGATGCTTTAGTTTTGAAGTCTGTTTCAAGAGAAAGAAATGAATAAATACATGTTTCAAGTATCTGGAAAAGATATATTAAAATACAAATTCTTAGAACCAGCTTATCAAAACCTCTGTATTTTTTATTTTATCACATTTTATGATATGTAGATATAGCCCAGTAAGAAGAAAAGATGTGTCGTGTGTTTTAATTTAATTCATTTTTCAGAAACTAACCAAATGTGAGGTTATGTATCTCTGCACTACACTTAGATACCAGGTTAAGAATACAGAATTTAACCCGGCACCAGATGTTTTGTTATGATAACTCCAAATATCTAGATTCTTTTGAATTATTCACCTAACTTCTAACTGCCTAAAATTTCCGTAGACAGAACCTTAGATGTAATCGTGTTTTACAGAGATGTTAGACTGGTTCCATTACAGGTAAAATGTCCCCTGGATTTGGTTTTCTTTTTTAATATATCTTATAAAATGTTATTTGTTTGCATTTAAAATCTTGACAACGCTTGCACAGGCTTTCAAAATGAGAATTACATTCAAAGAGACTGGCAAGATGGAAAAAAAACTGTCTCTTCTTAAATTTATTTCTAGCTTTGTTTCTTTATTCCTATTATGGTATTTTATATTCTGTACACATTTCTCAACTTTTCAAGAAGAGGAATAGAACTAAAAATTGCATCAGGTGAAACCAAAGTTGACAAAACAAAGGACTATTTTGAAACGTAAATAATAAATCATTTTTATAATGTAGCTATTTTTGTTCACTGTGAGGTTGCTCTTGAAATAAAATTATTTTAATTTAATAAATATAAATTGATTAAATATTAGTGGCTAATAATTATGGTTTACCTTTGAAAATAGTAAATTGTGATTTTCCAACTGATGAAATTAATGTCTTCCAGTCAATGTCATACTAAAAATTATGAATTGGATTATAGAATCCCAGTCAAAAAGTATGACAGCTTTCTTTGGTTTATAATCAATTAACTAATCTGACTTATTATGTAGGTTATGCATTTTAATCTACTTTATACATGTCCATAATTTTACATCCTACTCATATTACCTTTACATTTTTTAAATTATTCCTTTAAGAAGTTTTTTTTTTAACACTAACTACATCATCTGGGTTTCTTCTACATAAATTAAATATTCAGAAACATAACTATTCTGTTTCCACAAATCTAGTCCTGTGGGTTACTAGTAACTCATTGGTGACTGGTTGTTAACAGCATTCAGTTCAATTAGTCAATTGTATATCAGATGTCTATAAAGTTCTAAATAGCCATTTCTAAATTATACACATCTGATATACAATTGACTAACTATTAAAAATTTCTTTCTTCTTCCTATTCTGGGGAAGGGATTCCCTATTCTGGGGAAGGGATTCATATTCTGGGGAAGCGATCCTACTGCCACTGAAATATATATAAAAATTCCTTGTGGCTTTAGAGAACCTGCTACTGCTGAAATCGAAAAAGTGAAGAAATGGGGGAAAAGTTAAATCCTTTGCAAGACTTGATGCTAGCTATCCTGATGGTGGATTTCCTGTCCTCAAATGGTTTCCCACACAATGTTTATGTGTTTCACTTCATTTAGTTATTATATTGGTTAAAATTCCACCACATTAAGAATCATTGTGTTTTTATACACATCCTTAAGAAATATGTAGCTATCTTAGGACCATGAAATGATTATCAACTGTTCACTCATTAGTGTGACTCTATCCAACTGGCTAATAATCTCCTGATGGGATAGGGATGCATTTATGAAGAAAAAAGACTCAAAGTAGAATTGTAGGTTTGAACACATCTAGATTTAGAAGAGAATAGAGTTAATTTCTTTTTCAAAGACTATTTAAGCTCAAAGACAGTAAGAAACAGCCATTGATAGTAAAGCCCTTGAGAAGAGTGGGGATGTGGCAAATAATATCACAAGAGGAAAAAGAGTAAGTTACTGGCCTCCTACATATCTCACTCCTCATAACCACCATTTTATGAGGTAGGCATTACTTACTCCATTGTTTCCAAATGAGAAAAGCGGTGTAGAGTTGCTAAAGAGTGGGCTGGGAATCAAAACCAGATCGGTGTGACCAAAAAGTTCACTCTCTCTGGCAGAAGACAAATATCAACAATTTCAAAAACTTACTATAGAAACTTCTCCCCAGCAAAATAAGGGAAAAACTTGCCTTATCTTCCTTCTTTTTGCATCAAGATTTCTTCTCAAATCTGCCAACAATATTAGTACTATACCCCTACTGCATAATTTATTGCACAAATTTGTAATGTCTCTATGGGAATATGGATTCTTATATTCAAATATCAAACTTAGGAAATTCTTGAGACAAGTCTTGATGATAAACTAGGAAATACCTGAAGGGAAACAAATATCTTTAAATTTTAAAAACTTGCTGGAGATAGCAGGCAAAGGTACATAAAAACAGAATTTTCAATCACTTCTTAAAATTCTATTTTGCATCTTTGCTTCTAAGGAGAAAAACAGATTATTGTCTAGTAATAGGAAAAAAATAAGCAATTTTCTTTATCTTGCCATTTCTATCTACCCAAATCTTTCTAAATTATTTTCTCCATGAAATAGCCAAAATGCTTTTTATTTACCATATCATTTTTGCAATACTGTACAAGGAAACCACAAAAATAATAATAGTAGCATAGTTACATACTATTTAACTCAGTCTAAAAATTAAATGTTTTTTTCCCTAAAGGTGATTGTTTTTCCTTGATGTCCAACAAAAACAGTAAAATAATTTATTGTTGCTACTGTGCATTATCAGTAAAGGAAACAAAAAGGCAGGTTGAAAAATGTAGTTCTTCAGTAGCTGTTTCTTTATACATGTAAATTAAGAAGATGTATAATGATGCATTTGTAGATCAATGTCAGCTTCATTTATTGACTGTGGTGTTGAATCTTCCCACACCATGCAGCAAAGCCTCCCAATCACCGGCCTGCAGAAAGCTCTGTGTCCACCGGCTCCTCGGGCAGCAGCTTTGGCAGTGGGTATAGCGTGGACAGTGAAGGAAGCAGCAGCACTGCAGGGGACACTAATCTATTTCCTATTCCAAGGATGTAAGTGGGTCTCTTTTTGTTACTACAAAGCTTACTCAGCATCATGAGTAAGGCATTCTCAACAGTTAACAGGAAATAACCAGACAATTATCCAATTCTGAGTCATTGTCCCTGAGACACTTCAACTGTTAATGCCTATGTAAAGATACATAGTTCAAGAAAGATTGGATAATTCAGTTAATTCTAAGGATAAATGTTAGTCACTACCAGAACTATTAATCAATACAATCTCTATTTGATGTAAAAACTGCTAATCACTTAGCCATGCCAGAATAAAGTCCAGCAGGAGTACAATAATGTTTTAATCACATAATGATCAAATACAAACATTACTGGTATTTGAGACAAACATATATTAATTTACCTTGAATCAGGAGAGATTCAAACATATTCAAAGAATCCATATATCATGTTTGAAATAGAGGACATAGTGAATACTTATACAGACTTTTCAACTATAAATCCTTCTACAATTAAGATTGAAGGCATTGAAGTGTTTCCATACTTTCTAGAACAAGTACCGAGTAGTGCACAGGTCCCTGACTAGGTACTCTTGGAATAAGAATCATTTAGAATGTTAAACCTCAAAAAAAAAAAAAAAAGTCATTTTGCAAATCAAATGCAAAACTTTAGCAGACTTAACATGTTAGAATCACTTTGATCATATTGGTAGCATTTAAGATAAATATGTAGATTATGTCTGTTCCAATAACAAAATCCAAACTTCCTGACCTTTCCTTCTCCTCCCCATTAACTAGTCTTCTGGATTTTGAAAATACCACTGGGCCACCCAGGTCCCAGGATTTAGGCCAGAGCAAATTCAGTCTACCACCTGGTTTTCTAAGGCCGGTGAGCTAAAAATGGCGTTTCCATTTTTGAATGTGTAGGAAAAAAGGAAAGAAATGTGATACTTTGTGACATGTGAAAATTATAGGAAATTTAAATTTCAGTGAATATAAACTAAGTTGTATTGGAACACAACCACTCCTATTAGCTCTGTGTTGCCTGATGCTGCTTTTGTGTCACAGGGCAGAATTAAGTCGTTAGAACACAGCCCATCTGAAATATTTACTAACTGGCACTTTGCAGAGCTTGCCAACCCTGAGCTGGGTTGTCGAAGGGTCTTTTTCATTTTCTCCAATGCTACGTGAAGACTTTTCAGCAGGTGGATTTTCTATTTCTCTTTGTTTTAAAATAAGGCTTTTCATAAATCTTTCCTTTTGATGTCCACAACAATTGTAATATTTTGATAACGGTTCCGTTTATAAAAGCAAAGCATTAGGGAAAATGGATTTTTACAGTGAAAATGAGTTCATTTTGTTGTTTTGAACTACATTTTTTTTCAATTTAAATTAAGCAAATTATTATTGTATCACCTGCCCATCTTAGCTTTCTTTTCTTTTATGAGATTTAGTCTATGGATTCAATAGAGTTATTTGTACTTAATCAGTTCTATTTTATTGGAAATTCTTCCTAAAAGGAATCTAATCCCATTGGTCTTTGACTTCTGATGATCCAATTTGACAGAAAATAATTTCTACAAATTCATTACATTTCTCCCTAAGCTGTAAATGCCATGTGAATTTAGAAAGGTTTTAAACCACACATAATTTGCTATCCTTCCAATTTTTCTGCACCTTTCAAAATATATAATTTAACACTGATGATAAAGTTATAACTTCCAAAGAGTAAATATGTTATTTTGTCAATATCTGAATGTCTGCAGAATAAATAGATTATGTATTTTATATATATATATACCACATTCTAATTTTGGTTTTTCCCATCTTCTGTTTCTCTTGTAAATCAAAGCTTCGCACAACTGTCTAGGAGACTCTTGCTTTGCCATATGAGCACAACAAATATTTACCTTTGAAAACCACTGTAGGATATGTGTAGGAAGTAGTATGTGGCAGTTCTTTTTTATCCCCCATTGTGTCTAATAAAATTATTGCTTGGGCTAGTGAAAGTTTTTAATAAATATCTAGTGATTGTTTAAAAATATAAATTATAAAATGTGTAGCAACAATGTTCTGAGCTAAAGTGTAGTTATTGGGAATTCAGAGAAACCACATCCTTCACATGACCCACAGTTACATTTCCTTTGCACCTAACTTAGCTTCACAATCCTGTGAAAGTTTTTTGTATAATCTTCAAAATGTACTTACTACACATACTGGCTAAGTACCTGTGTTAAAATCAGTTTTAATTGAAAGCAAATACTGGCTGGGTATCACCCTTAATATATAAAGTCTAAGAATCAAGAACAACCCCAAAAATTATCAAAATGTAATTGTGCTACAATTACTAAGACTTATAGTAACTACTTTTTAAAAGTCTGGGATAGTATAAGAATATTAATTTTTTAGTATTCTTATCTACTAGATTACCAATACTAAAAAGACCCTCACTTTCAGTAGAATTGGTTCAGTAACAAGGTAAATTTTGGCTCACTCTACCAGCATAATGTACTGATAAAAGTAAGATTACTGCTATTAAACTTTTTTTCCTCTCTAATGCTAACAGATAGAGCAGAGTTCTTTTTTTTTTTTTTCCTTAACTAATTGTCTTGAATCTTGATGAAGCAATTACATACGCTAAAATTTTGTGCATTGCTTAAATATGTATGCCGATGTTGACCATGCAGACCATGGTTTAACATACATATGGTAAAACAGAAATGTTGGAAATTGCTTAATTTGCATGAACTTGGTCCCTCACATACACACTTAATAAAAATTTGTACTTAAACCTTTAACCTGGAATTATTATAATGGAACAATGTAATGGCTTTTGAGATAAAATAATTTCTGAATTTACATGTGTTCCTCTTTTATTATGTGCAGACACATTTCAGCACCTTCTCTGAAGTAGAATAAGAGGATCTTTAGAGCAGTTTTCAAGTAAGATATAATTGGATTCTTAAGAAATAAATATGGTTACATTTTCAGCAGGTCCAGCAAACCAAATACTTCCTGTGAAAGTTGTAATTAATTGTTAGTAAATCCCGCTATGCTAGGAGCGTTGCCTACAAAGTGCAGTATCAAGATGCTCTTTTGTTCAAGCATCTTTCTATAACACTTAAGTTTTTATTCCATCTTTTTAGAACACCCTATCTAAGTATATATAAAGGCAAATTCCAAACTTTTTCATGTGCCATGCAGCTTTTTCTGTAGCCAGAGAAATAAGAAGTGGCCTACAGTCCTTTAGCTGTTAAATTATTAACATTCTAAGCTTACAATCCTCAAAGTATCATGAATTCGTCATCTAGACTTTCCAAAAAGTTTGAAGCTGAAAACTAAAAGTGATTAGCAGATTTTAGCGGAATTCTAAGGCTGCTATGAACATGCCTATCTATTAATATGCTATATTTATTGAATGCTTATGATTTTTCAGGCACTCTTTAAACCTTTCTATGCATTTTTCATGTGATTTTTTTCACAATCAAAATGTAGCTAATATTATTATCTTTATATCACAAAAGGAGAAACAGTCTTGACCAGGTACTTTGCCTTACATTACACATAGCAAGAAATAGCAAAGCAGAGACCAAGCAGCCTGACTACAAAAGCCAGTTTGCTCAACATAGCAGAAAACACAGGAAGGAGTTGGGGAAAAAAACACATGAAATAAGAAATATTCTATTAAAATATCATTTTTATATAGTATTTATTTCAATATTGCTCTTTTCACCAAAAAAAACTAGAATAACTCATCAGTACAACTTATAAAAATATAAAGCCCCTTCTCATTTTTGAGTTAGAAATAAATAAAAAAATTCTAAAACAAAATTTGGAAATGTCATGATGGTCTTATTTTTTGATAAATGAGTCTACAAATAAAAATTACTGAATGTTGAGGTATACTATTTGGCTTGAATAGGAATAATAAACAAGTTCACATTTTAAAATCATGACATAGAGCAATTAACTGTGTATGTATGTGCCATTCAAATAATTATTACAAGTCCGAAAATATTTGGTTGGTGCAAAAGTAATTGCAGTTTTTGCCATTACTTTCAATGTTATTTAAATTATGCAAATTTAGCCTCCTTTGCATTCATGAGATATAACTGAATATATCATTTTATTTTATTCCTAAACAGAGGGAAGATGGGACAGAATGGACAAGAGCCTGTAAAACAGCCAGGGGTAGGAGTAGGACTAGCAGACACTGAAGGTAAGTAAAAATTTACAATATTAGATTTTGGCCTAATCTACATTCTACAGTATAAATGTTTGAGTTATTTTTCTTTTAACATGAATTTAAATGTTACATACTAATGGCAAAAGCAATAGGTAGTAAGACATCATCATCTATTAAATGAGAATGACTTTCTTTATAATTTCCCAGTTTTCTCATTTGTGTTTAACATTGAAGGAACTTGGGGTACTAAAAAATTAAAAGAGAAAGAAGAATGAGAAGGATGACACAAAAAAGACTCAGAAGACTTTCTGAGGGTGGGAGGGAAATCTTGAACTTAAAAATATATATTTTGTTTAAAATATCATGCAAATAGAAAATCAATCATGGAACCTCATTTAAGTCCATGGAAATTCTTAAATATATGAAGCTGAGAAGAAATTAATGGTGTAAAAATCATTTTACAGAAAAATTCACTGCTAAACTAACGTCTAAAGAAAAACCAAATTTAATTTCAAATTTCGTTTTATTAAACAAATAGTAAGTTATTACCAAATGTGAAAACACCTTAACTTCAGCAAACATATAAAAAGAGTATCTATAAGCTTTATGATGACTAGCTTACTTTTCATTATAGTATGATAAAATCTAGTATCCCTGGCTAGGCGTGGTGACTCACTCCTGAAATCCTAGCACCTTGGGAAGCCGAGGTGGGCAGATCATGAGGTCAGGAGTTTGAGACCAACATGGCGAAATCCCATCCCTACTAAAAATACAAAAATTAGCCAGGTGTGGTAGCACTCACCTATAATCCCAGCTACTCAGGAGGCTGAGGCAGGAGAACTGCTTGAACCCAGGAGGCAGAGTTTGCAATGAGCCCAGATCTCGCCACTGCACTCCAGCCTGGGTGACAGAGGGAGATTCCATCTGAAAAAAATAAAAAATAAATAAAATGAATCTAGTAGCCCTATTGTCCTTCATGTGTCATTCCAACCTCTCTCAATACATTTAACTATTCTAAGTAGTTTATTCTAAGTACTTTTCATGCACTGTCTCATTTGATTCTTACAATTACCTATGAGGTAACTAATAACATATATTGGCATGATATAAAAGGAAACTGAAGTGCACACATAGAACAAGGTCAGAACAAGTGAAAATGACACCACATGTCACACTATTAGCATGATTATGGGTGTGTTATCAGAAGAACATTACCTAGGGAAATAGAATCGAAAACAGGTTTTCAATTCTGGCCTTTATTAGATATGTGACCTCATTTCTCTATCTTCAGAAATCTCATCTGACAAATGCTGGGTCTAAGTGATACCTAGGTTTTCTCAGGGGCTTAAGTGAATGCCACATTTTTCTTGTTCTACTCAAATTGTAAAGTAATCTTTGGACTCCTTCAAAAGCTATGCTTCCTTTATCTCTTGCAATATACCTCAGGGTTCCACCCTCAATCTACCAATCTTTTTACCTACCCTATCTCTGTACACACTCATGAACTCTCTCTTATAAGTTGATTAGTCCCAAACCTGCAGCCCAAACTCCTGGAATTTAGACTCAGTATATGTCAGGCATTTGTGTCCAACCAGGAAATTATAAATGGCTCTGAATATTTGAAATAGAGAAAACAAATGACTAGCAATTGATTATATACTCATGTAAGAAGCTGAGAAACTAAGTGGGGTATAGTGAAGCAGCAGAAAAATAGCTATTGTTCCCATAAGCTAGAGGACAGTGAGAGCCAAAACCAGGACACGCCTGCTTTCTGGGAGTAAGAAACGTGAAAGAAATTCAGCCAGTGCCAGAAATATATCCTGAGACAGACAAGGATGGGGAGAAATATCCCGGTTCTCTCTTCCTCCCATTCTCCCATCTCTGCCAGTGCCTGATCAAATCCAATTGGCAGCCAGTTGACAGAGAGGTCTGGGAAACTATACAGCACAGCTACTCTGAGAAGAAAGCAAGGAAAAGACCGAAGAATGCATCCGAAAGCACATAAGTGTAGGGCCGGCACAATATTTTACATGGATGCATCAAACTACGTATGCCCTGCACTTAATTCACTCTCTTCCCCATTTTGCCTTCTTTTCCTTCTATGCTCTTAACACACACAGTTGACAGAATTTGCATATTTTATCATTGTTCTTTGATTTAAATTACCTATTTCTATTTTTGTCTCCTACATAAGGATGAACAACTCTCAGACCAGAGAAAGCACTTACTCCTCTTGTTATCCCAGCACTTAGCAGACAGCCTTGCCCGCAGAGTTGCTCAGGGAATGTCTATACAATTAGCATCTATTGATTTTCATATTACTCTAGAATTTACATATATAGAGAAGCAATTCATGCATACTTTTAGCTACTTAATTTTACCTTTCTTTAATCCTAAAGTTTATAAATAAAATTGTTTTAGTATAAATGTTAACAGCTGTCAATGAACAGAAATTGTTCATCCTAATACTGCTTTCTTCTTTCATATCAGTCCCACACAAAACATGCTTGTTTTACAAGAAGGAGCCAATCAGAGGCTACTTTATTTTTATTTAAACTTATGAGTCAATATGTTTCCCCTTTAACAAACTGACCCTGATCAACAGTTGATCTCAGATTAGTCATTGAGCAGAGGGGCGGGGGTTGAGGACAGGAACAAGATGGAATATGTAATATAATGTGAGTTATTTATAGTCAAGTGCCCTTTTGGTAGCAACTTTTTGGACAAGTTGTTTTTGACTGAGTTACTGTTAACATTTGACAATAATCAAATTTATAATCTACATAACCATATGAATTTGGCATGAATCACTGTAAGAGAAATATAAAAAACAGTTAATAATATGGAGAAGAAAACTGCAATAATAGTAGACTTTCAGAGCCAATTTTAAATTAGAATATATAAACAGAGTGAGGAGAAAATGATTAAGAATGTATTTGCTCTATGCAGATAGGAGGACACATCAATTTAAAGTGCAAGATTTTGTTTTGCCCACATAGAAATATGGAATCAACTTTGTGTTGTACTTGAGATATATATATAATCTGTGTTTGTTTTGAGTGATCCAAAGAATTGTCTTTACTTCCTTTTGTTGTCAGTGAACATAAACAGCCAATTTAGTGGGAGAACAAAAACAAACAAGAGTCAATTCAATTTTTTTAGACAAAATATATAGTTTTTTATTGTATTTTTCCTCCGTTCAATCCTTCACCAGGACATTAGAAAAACTGTGACTCTGTAGATAAGCACAGTTTTCTTGAAATTATAGATCCTTGAAATGTTCTACTTCATCTTGAGTACTTATATTATTCATTTAAGCACTTTGCTTTATGAACAACTTAGTCCACTCTAAGAAATACTCATCTGCAAAGATTTGCTTTAGGACAGCATACTTTAATTCAGAGTATATCATAGATTTTAAGTAATCGCTTTTAGACAGTTTGTTCACATACAATTTTTATTCTTGTTTTTGCTTTATAGGGTTCAGAATGTAAAAAGTAATGTTTTATGGGGTTGCAATTTCTGTTGAGAATGTTACTGAGTGTTTTTTAATGTTAAATAGCCATGTCCTTGTTCTTCTTATTAAGCAAGTCCATTTATTCTGCTTCTAATTTAAAAACAGTAACTTTCCACTTAGTCATTTTCTCTAACAATGTTTTTCCTTATTCATAGAAGTTGTTTATGAATTTTAATCCCAGCATGAGATTAGTTCAATGGGTCAGAATGTGAGCTCTATGAAGGGTTCTGGGATTCTGACTTAAGTTGTAGTATAAAACAGTAACACTTTTTCAGACTATCTCCACTAATCAGTCATGGAATTTCCACAATTGAGAGCATATGTAAAGTGAAAATAAGTGTTGTGTTTGGCATACAGTTAACATCCTTTAAGTTGTAGCTATTATTAAATTAGGAGTATATGTGAGACAGAGTCATTTTGGTCCCATCCAAAGAAATGATTATTATTCAGGATTGATAAAATGTTGTGCACTTGTTGACAATGAGAGCTATACAAGACCACTTTTCTTTAAGATTCAAATCAAACCCATTAGACTTTCAAATTGTGCAGATGAATGTTTTCCCAATTTACACTAAAAACATCTAATTACATCCTTTAAGCTAGTTGACCCTTCTATTAGTTAAGATGGATGTATTTAATACTGTTATTTTTTGCCAGTGAACATCCATGTAGTAGCTGCCTTGATCCATTAAGTCTCCTAAACCAGGTGTTCATCATATTTAAAAAGTATTACAATCGCAACTTTCCATGAAGTTTAATTTTCTTGGCTGTATACCTTTCAATAACAAATAACCCTAATAAATCATTTGTTTTCTTAAGTATCTTTATAAAATTCAATTTAGTTTCAGTAAGAATGGAAATTCAGTTTCCAGAACAAATAAACCTCAAACATTCTAGAAATTTGCTAGGCTCTACTCTCAAAGAGAAAATATGAAACCATTATGGAAGATCCTCAATTAGAGTATAATAACAGCTATTATTATGGCATCCAATAATATTCACTCCACAAATACGGGACCTTGCTGTCTTATTTTTCCCAATACTTACGCTACCTTTCTTATATTTCCAAAGTTGATTAGTGCTATATATGAGTGTATCTATTATATGCAAAACACCATATTAAAACTTTGGATCCTACAGAGATCAATTCAATACATATGCTGATCTGAGGGAACATACTGTCCATCTAGTATGATTGGTTCTATTTCATCAGCAGCTAGGAAGCATGCTTGCTGAACCAGGTGTGTATAGCCAGTGTCCATTCAGAGAAGGGGCTTTAATAACCATGATGCAAAGAATAATTACAATAAAAATGTATAAACCAGAGGGAAAATTATGTGCTTTGGAATTTCAGCATTGAAAAGCGTGGCAGCATCTGTAGAAGTGATGGTGGGGAGCATGGTTTTGTGAAAGAGGTTACAAGTAGTGACTGCTTTGGAAGTCGAACAAGGTCTAGACATGTGGCAATGAATGAGGCCAAGCTCAGACTGAACAACACAGATGGAAGAAAAGATTG